AGAACAATGCTTAGAACAAATTATGTCTAAGAAAATCTCTCAAAGCTGTTCTAATTAAATAATATCTTATAGATAATTTGAATATAAAACAGGCTGGAAAGTAATCAGTCAAATACAAGTACCTTTTACTAATGCGTCCTTTTTATAAACATTCTTTTGCTTGAATACTAATACTGTACCTTACCAATTTTATATATAAAAAATATTTATCTTTCTCTTTTTAACAATGCTAGACATAAATACTAAGTCTTTCTCTTCCGATTGTGCTTAAAATGTTAAAATACTAGATTTAAAAATATACAAAAGAATTTGAAAATTGCTATTAAGAGCTTTACATTTTATTTCTCAAAAAAAAAAAAAAAAAAAAAAAAAAAACACAACATCAGTTTCTGTCCGACCTCCATAACAATAAGTCAATTGATTTGTCTTCGTTCAATTTCTAGAGCACATTAACAATACATTCCCAAACAAGAATTTTCATTACTGCTCTTAAACTAGCTTAATGAAAAGAAGGGAAAAGTCCACTTGACATTAAGATACTTGGCCTTTGAAAGTTAGCTTGAAAAAAAAAAAAAAAAAAAAAAGTTCTGCTTTTCAATAGGATATTGCTTCTTGAAAAATATGACAGTCTTTAAGATCTCTGCATGACCCACTTCTCAAAATCTGATCTGAACAGATTCTCCACCAATCCTAACCTCTGAAATATATGTCTTGCTTGGGATGAAAAGGAGAGGCATGGTGGAGTAATGGATAGCAGCTCAGATTGAGGAATCGGAAAGCTGAGTTTGAATTTCAGTCAAATCCGTTACATTCACTTAAATGCTAATACCCTTGGGAAAAGTATGAATCCTCTTCTCCCCAAGTAAATAGCAGGACAGACTGGGTTCTATAGCCTTGGATGGCAACTGGTCTACCGCAGAAAGAAATGGCAACCTACTGAAGGGAAAAAATCTGCCTCGTCAGTCACATATTGAAAGATACATGATCGTCTAAGAGTGTATCATGCATGGCACACAAGTGACTGACTGGGATGAGAAATTTTCAGCACTTGCCTTGGGATTAATACATAATATTATCCAAATTTCAGGCATGAGTCAACCTCATCCAAAGAGTGATGCTTGTTTGTTTTATCAAGGTTTTAGTCAAGGCATCCTTCAGTTTACCAAGCTATATATTTTATCTAGTAAAATAACAAGATGGAGGCTACAAGGAGTGACATCTGGCAGGTAGATCCACAAAGGTTAAAGTTTCTCAAAAGGGCAGAATATTATACCTTGCCAACACTAGTTGTCCTGAGTCTATAAGGAATGGCTAGTTCAGATCAATACAGTGTATGTGGGGAAAACTGAGTCTTGATGGTTTCAAGACTTTTCTTTCAACACGTACAAGTGTTGCAGAATTCTGGCAGAGGTTGCCAATACAGTTTCATCTACCACCAAAACAATGATAATTTTGTAAAACAGTAGTAATGGAAGTGGGTCTGGAAAGAAACGTCAACTATTTGATAACAATATGGAGCAGTTTCTAACTGTAAATCTTGAACTCTTGATTTTTCAGCCGAGATAACATTAACTACCAAGCATTGTAATCTCGTCAGTAAATTCCCAAAATGTTATTGAATTAAACGCCTCTTTTGAAGTAAAAATAAGTTGAGCACATGAATGAAAGCAAGCAAAACATGAGAACTTGCGTGAATAATGTGCAAGGCAAGGCTGGACAGCCAGTGTATTTCATGGAACAAAATTTGTCACCAGTGTCTCTGAACTAGGAATGGTGAACATGTGTTTTTAACCAGGAAAAAGCAGTTTGAAACGGAGGGCATTATGTCCAGGTAGGAACAGGTAAGCATGAATTTTTTTTTTCTTTTGACAGTTATTTCTTTCTTTGGTGTCTTAGTTAATTGATAACAGAGATAATGTGCTTATTTAGATTGTTACCTTGTGTTTCCGTCTCGTTAGGTCATGTCTCTACATGTGAAAATTTTTTTTTTTGTTCAGTCAGGGGGGCACGAACAAGGGATACAAAGCCATTCCCCACACTGGCTAAACAAATGACAGGGACAGAACAGATGGCTATGGTCCATTTACGATTACTGGGGCAGGAATAGTATACTTATGCTTTTATGGGCACATCTAGTTGAGTGTCTGGCTTCGCAAAGAGAAAAAACTGGTTGCTAAAGTGTATATATGCACACTTGTGCCACACCACCCCATCTCTCTCTTTTTTTTATTTAAGCGGTACTGCCCCCCTCCCCCCGGGGTGGGGGGAACCAAGCCCACTCCTCACACTATTTAAAATTCCACCAAAAGCTGGGTCTAGTTGTTGTACTGTTTTCTGATTATCCATTGTCTTTTTTTTTTTTTTTCTTTTCTTTTTCTTTCTTTGCTCGTCAGGTCAGTTCTCATAAGCTGCAGACTTAATAGTAATCTTGTTTTTTTTTTTTTTGGTGATAAGGTGGGTTGAAATATCGCCTTAGCAGCTAACCCTTATCTCATGGTTGTCAGATGCAAAGGTGTCATTTCTACTTCAACTTTGATATATCTAACTAAATGCATTCCAAAAGCTAAACAATGTACTAAGAAACAGGAAAATTTTGTTAGGAACAAAATGTGATGAATTTCTACGTCATGTCTATCTTCTTTAATAGCAGCAAATACTGGACAATCTTCCAACAGATGAAGAGGAAACTAAAGGCAAAAGAAATGTGGTTCTACAGAAGGATACTGAGAATTCCATGGACAGAGCAAGTAATCAATGAGGAAGTCTTAAAGAAAATGGTATTAAAGGAAAAAAAAAAAAAAAAAAAAAGAAAAGCAGAATCAGAAAGAGATCGCTGAAATCCCTTCGACACAATAAGGAAGGAGTGCTTGGAAAACTTAACTATCACAAGACAGAGAGCAAGAGAGATAGGGAAAGCAGCAGGCCACTACCTGATGAGCTTGTGTGAATTGATGATGGGAGGTGGGCAGGATGTGGGAATTTTTACAAAGGGAGAAATACTGCTAAGGGCCACAAGAGAAAGGGGTTGTGGAGAGCCATGTTCTGAAGGGACATGTCACATAAAAAAAAAGTTCATGTCAAAAGACATGGGCTTCAAGATTGGGACAGAGAAGGAACCTGTTTACACCTAGTATGCCTGTAGTTTGACAGAACTAATGGGATACTAGTAAGATGCCATGCATTAGGGATAATGAGGCTATGGCTCAAAAAAAAAAAAAAAAAAAAAAAAAAAAATCAAGCTTGAACACAAGGTCATCTTATGAGAGTTTTGTTATTGATGCACCCCCCCTGAAATTCTACTAGTCTACCCGATACCTTTTGTCAGACTCTTCAAAGCAACTGCCAATTCCTTCTGATTTTATTTGAACCTCACACTAATTTTTGAAGGTTTAACTTCTCTCTCAAGTACAGGCTTTTATTTCACCAGGAGACGATTAATCCAATTTTAGTATGAGAGCTGTGTAGTTTGTGGTTTTCCTATGGTAAGACACTATGATGTTCCACTTTGACTACATTTCTTATAGAAAGTAGGCTTACTAAATCTTTATATTCTGTATCTTGCATGCCAGTTTGAAAAACCCTGAATTAATTTAGCATCAATAGTTATTTAAGGAGGTTCATACTATAATGTACCAGGATCAGTAATAATACTAATTGATCCTTGTACCTCCTGCATTCACAAAAGTAGTTAGAATTAATATCCAAATACAATAAAGCACACTTGTTGGTGTTGTCTTAAAATAATCATGTGTATTAGTAGTCAACTGAAAATTTATCTTCCTTATAGAAGGCTGAAGAATGCAACAGAAACACTGATAAAGTCTACAAAGAGAGCATTAGACTGAATAAATCTAGGAATCCTAACTTATAGGCAAACAACAGAATGTGCTTCAACTTGGTTATAAATTGGAGAACACTGAAATAGGTAATTAATGGTAATATTTGAGCAAAATAAACAATTTTGTTTATAATTAAGTTGAAAGGCTCTCAGCACAATCCACTTCCTAAAATCTGATCAAATATCAGAATTTACTGAAGATAAGGATTTTTAGTACTCTTATAGCACTGTTGGACTTAAATCTAGCCTTCATTTCGTTGCTGACTATCTCATATCCAAGAATTTAATTTCTTCTTTGCTAATCGGTTTTTATGAGGATGGCATTGATAATTAAATTCGATGCCAGTGTGCAGGTTCAGGATTAGAAGCTTCCAGTTTCACCAAAACTTATCCCTGTCATCATTCCCTATCACTGTTTGGTTTTGCAAGAGTTGGTTGCAGGTGAAAGAAAATCAGGGTAGAAGAAAGGGTCAATGGCATGAATTTGTTTAAGATGAACCTCAACTTGCCAGAAAGTGACCCCACACTTGATTTCATTACCTTCCTCTGCAGCACATACAGAATGAGACCTGCAGAATCGAGTTATTAAACTACAACAGACTGTTGTTGACAGTTATAATTTTGAGTGGTGACTTCTGTCGCATGTCCATCATGCATAACCCACTTCATCCACTTGTCCAACTATTGAGTTCTGTTGGAATAGTCATCTGCTTGTTCCACTGTTGGATTTGGTTGTACTTAGTATGGATCCTCATCTTCAACCGTACCACCAAAACATGTCTACCAGGAGTTTAGAACTTCCAACATCACTGCTCTCAGAGTCATTGGATCACACAAGTCTCTCCACCACAATAAGGAGCATCCATCAGACACAGCATATATATATATTACACACACAACTTAAAACCATACATATGGGAATCAGTTGAACCAGGTTAAGGATTAACTTACAAATGTTCCGTCATTAACAATCAGGATAATGAGAATATTACTTCATTAGAATTAGTAAGTGTTCTAAAATTTGCAAAGAAAATGGGGAATAGTAATTAGAAAATAACAATTCAATCACAGAAGAAAAATGTAAGAAACTAAAGTCATTTAACATTCCTTTTGATATTGCAATAATCAAATTAATTAATAACATAGAGAAATAGTGACTTAC